GCGCAGAATTGAATCATCCTCTAGATAGCTTTTGGCGATTATGAAGCGCATAAATTTAATTAGGGCTTTGACTGTAACGAGAATCGATAAATTAAGCGTTTTCAAGGCATGAAAAATCCGTTTTGTAAGTTTGCAAAGATTTTCAGGTTTAGAATGTGTCAAAACCATCAAGTAATCGATAAAATAACTATCCATTACGGAAAGCTTTGTTTTGACGACTCGCATTCTTAATCTGCACGCGCTCCAGCGTTTTTATGCGACAAAACGGCTGGAAAAAAATATTTTAATAGACTCGAATAGAAAACGATGAAATGAGGGGTATTCTGTCCTTGAGAATCCAGTTTTATTAAAAATTTTAAAGGGACGGCGACAGATCTTTCATCGCTTTTTTTACTCCTCCATGCCACCTAGTATCGTTTTTCACCCCGCCACCTTGGGCAGAGGCAGTAAATCGGCATCGGCGCCATTTCTAACGCGATACGCTGTGTCTGTCTGTCGGTGCGGTATGGTGGCATGAATACTTATTCAGCCCCGGTTTGCCACTCCTTTAATAGGGTACTCCCTTTGCCAAGTACCTATTCTCCCACTTTTTATGCTTCTCACCGAATACTGCGGGTGGCACCCTCTGCTAGAGGTGCATGTTACTGAGCTGTTATCGGGGGGGGGGGGCTAATTTTTGTTTTCCGCCTAGACCTACTTGTTAATAAAAATATTTCGTGGTTTTTGATTGCTAAAAAGACACAAAAACAATTTTTGAAATGTTTGAAAACCCGAAATTTTCAGATTTTTTGTCATTTTTGATACATTTTTGGCCAAAGAGTTCAAATTTGCAAAATGTTTATTAGTTTTTAAGTCATTTTGCTATCTAAAAACTTTGTAAAATGCTATAAAATTGGTTTATAGGTTGTTACAGGAGTACAGGATTCTGGCGAAAAATTAGTTCCACTTCCTGCTATCCCCGCTAACAGTTCGGTACCAAATGTAGTGACGCTTCTATTTTCTACACAATTTATCGTACACCAAAAAAAAAGATAAAAAGATACCCGTGATTGGGAAATGACTATCAAAAGGACTGCTCAAAACCGGGGCGCCAGATAGAATTGTGAAAAGCATGAAAAAGAAATAGGGAATTGATGAAGGGAATCAAAAGGAAAAAGTGATTCACAAAGTGTCAACAGTATTGAAACGTTTCATCTCGGCGTTCATCCGGAATACCGACGGCATTTCGCCCAACGAGCTGTGCTGTGCGGACTGTAACTAAAGCTTTAGAATAGCTACAGTAAGACCGGGATTAGGTCGTTAAAATCCGCTCACCCCCATATGTCTGGGACGGATTCGGCGTTGCCATTTGACTTCCTCGTGGAATCCTTCTTTCATTTGCTCCACGATGAAGAAGACGATTTTTGTCCAGGCTCGTTGAGTTACCTAAAAATATATTTTTAATTGATTTAATAGTTCCTTTAATTAATTTGATGAAATTCTTCAAATTTTTCATTTTGTTTATATCTATATTTCTACTAAATTAAAATAAGCGATTTAAAGCATATATTACTTTTACATATCCAGATTTTTTTATTATATCTCCCCACCTCATTTCTATCCTTCTTTTCACCCCATTCCAAAGTACGCTCGAGCATGGCCTGCGCGAATTGGTCCAAAGATGCCGCACGGAATGGACATCCAACTTAAATAAAAAATTAAAAATATACCGAATAAAAAGAAACTTACATTGTTCTTTGCTCGAAAAGACATGCGCCCTCCCAGCTTCACGTAGCTCATGCACATCTGAGTTTGGATTATCGAGATTCGCGATCAAATTGTCCATAGTTTGTGTGAAGAGCTGGGCATGGCGCTTCAGCCGCTCGTGGCCCATATTCTTTGTGCCGTGCATTAGGATTTGACGGATTTCCGGGTTTTTGAAGAACGAGTTTCTGGAAAGAGGAATTTAGCGATAACTAGGCGTTATAGTTTGAAAGACAAAACATAAAAACGGAGAGTGTAGAATCGATACCTGAAAATGCTGATGGCGGGCTCGAGGGCTCCTTGAGCACGAGCTGCCTGCCAGGTCTTGCGCACGAGAACGATTTGGGCCTGGGTTAGGCAGAGCTGCGTCACTGGCGGGCCATTGTTGACGGCTGAAATATGGAGATCTTGCTACATAAATTTTTTGGGGTTTAGGCTTAAGCTTAGGCTTGGGCCTCGGGTTAGGCTTAGGTTTAAGTTAGGCTCCAGTGAAGCTTAAGTCGCACTTAGGCTTAGGTTAGGGTTAAGCTTGGGCTTAGACCTAGGCTTACTCTTAGGCGTAGGCTGAGGCTGAGGCTTAAGCATTGCTTAGGCTTAGACTTAGTTGCGGACCGAAAACGACTGCCAGGACGTCAGATTTTTGAAAAATGGCCCTTTTTCTATGAAAATTCCGTTTTTTTGCATAGTTTTCAATAAATTGGCTTCGTGAAACCTACGTCTCTTTAGTTCCGGAAGTGGTGATGGCGGTTGAGCCATTGGTACGACGGCGGGCGAGTGTAAAATAGCAGAACCGTGCACCGGGAAAGTTGCTTCTGGAATCGAAAACATCATAAACCGAACGGGACGCCGTTCTGAGAACCTAGTCCGAAAAAGCATGGAACGAGGAAGCCGAGGGGGAAATGCGGACTTCCTGTAAGGGTGGAGCGTTGCAGATAAGCGAAGACTAAGTGGCCCAGAAGGGAAGGGCTAAGCCAACGACGTGGCCAGAGGCCAATCTATCCAACTTGGCGGCTTCTTCTCTTTTCAATGCCTATGTCTGCTTCAAAGAGCGGGTTGTCCACTCAAAAGATGGGGCGTTGTCGAGTATCTTAAGGGGGGAAGCTGGGGCGAAAGCTGCCGCCCCGGCCCGAACAGCGTCCCCTCTTAAAAATGTGATGAAAAAGTACTAAAAGCACGAGATTTTGGGGGGTGAACGGGTACTTTAGAAGTTGAGTAAGGGCTGTAAATAGGAAAGAACGTAATTGCTGTAGTATGGCCCCCGCTCTACCATAAGCAATGTCTCTAAATAGTCCTTCCGTTTTCCCAAACCTTCCGGAAGTGGGTTTAAAAACCAATAAAAATAGAGATAGCTATCAAGTTGTCGAAATCCATTTTGTCGAAATGTTGTTTTATAGAAGTTTCATTTTGTTGAAATTTTCATGCGGCGAAATTTCATTGTGCGAACTTCTGAGAGGAATAAATGAGGAGAAAAGGCACTGAAATCTCCACAAGTTTGAAACCTCGACAAAATGAAATACCGAAAAACGAAATTTCGAAAAATAAAATATTGACAAAATGAAAATTCGACAAAAAATGGGGGTGCCTTCCCTTATAAAAACCGTTAAAAATTGTAAAAATTTGTAAACTATAACAAAAATTTATGTTTTGATCCGTGTTAGGTAATATTAATCATTTTAGGCGGTTTAAAGTGGTAAAAACTGGCAAAATTGATCAAAACCAATCAATTTTACCTAATAAAATCACCCCTGCAGGGACGATGAAAAATAAATAGGGTAGGCGTCATAGGGCCCACCTACATCATCGACCTGTCACGCTCCCTTTAACTCAACCTCCCGAGCCGGAGAGCCATGCTCCTGGGATAGACGTGGGAGAGTCAGGAGCCATCAGGGACACCCCCCAGCCGCCCCCCAAAAATATGAGAGGCTAAAAATAGAAGATGTCAGGGGGCGGATAGGGGCCTTATTCCACGCTGGAAGGGCAGAAGCAGAAGCACAAGCTTTTCGGCTATGCCCCACCCGGACAGCGTCAATAAACAGCGGAATCCACGAAAAGCTCAGGGGGAAGAAAAGCCGGTCTGTTGATGGCTGGAACAAAAGACACGACTGCATGTCATTTATGTTCGTTTTTTGGGGGCGCATGGAATAGCAAAGAGCGCGATTTCGATTGCTTATTACATAGTGGAATTCAGAAAATTATGTATTTTTAGGTTCTTTTACATTAGCGGGGGTGTCGATTTTTGTAATGTTTTTGGCAAAATATAACTACATTTCAGCTAGAAAAACTAGCGAAAAACTTGGTATTTTTTGAAAAAGTCGAAATTTTGGTAAAAAATCTATCTTTTTTCATATTTTTATTGAACTTTTGTAAGGTTAATTCAAAAAGTAACAAAGTTAATTGAAGAATAATATAAAAACATTGAAAAATTACCGCTACTTCGATTAGAAAACTTGGATCCTAAGAAAAAGTAGT